TCATTCCTTATCCTGTCTCAGTCCAGCCTAAGATAACCCATCACCTATCTTGAGGCAGTGACCTCTTCCCTTACAGAGGTGGCTGGAAAGAAGGGTGAACAAGACCCACAGGATGGGGCTGTGCAAACATGTGCCCTCACATCCTCATCAGAACAAGTTTCCTGAAGCTTATCCATGCCTCCTACCCCTGAGGGTGCTGCCCACGAAATCTCTGTTGGTGAACTCCAGAAAGCTCATAAGTTTTGGTCTAAGATGATGGCACTTGTTGAAAATTCCTCTTATCATTTATGTCCTCTTAGTATTATATTCAAGGACACACCTGAAATAGTTTGCTTGAGTTTGAACACCTTAATTTGCCAGTTCCAAGCTATATTGCACAGTTCTTTTAATTCACAAGTGTGTGCCACTGTAAAGTGAGGGTAATAATAGTGTCCCATTTGGGTAGGGTCATTATGAGAATTAAATGAAATAATGTATATGTAGAATTTGGTATTGCACAAAGTTAAAAATTCAGGGGCTGGGGACGTGGCTCAAGTGGTAGTGTGCTCGCCTGACATGCATGGGACACAGGGGTTCAATCCTCAGCACCACATAAAAATAAAATAAAGATGTTGTGTCCACCGAAAACTAAAAAATAAATATTAAAAAAATTCTCTCTCTCTCTCTCAAAAAAAATTCAGTGTACATTGACAATTATTAAAATTTTTTGTTTTATATTTTTGGCTCCTAAACTAGATTATTTTTATACATGTATATGTACAACACTCATATGTGTAAATATAGCCCGAACTGAAGTTACTAAAATGGTCCCCTTGGTTATGATTAGTGCTAAGACTATATATTGCCCCAAATTTATCTCAATAAAGTAACAGCAAAAATGAACAAATGGTTTATGCATCCAGCCATGCCCCTTCAGCCAATCTACAATCTCAGTAACATGGGGTGGACTTCCCTAGTACTTCGTCATTCAGAAGTAGAAAGGTGAAAGAAAAATCTAACATTTCACCTACAAATTTGAAATCTTGTGGAATAAGTTGAAAAGATAAGAAACACATCACATATTTTCTCCATTCTCATAATGGACTTATTGAACAAGGAGATAATTAAGGAGTACATACCATATTCCAGGTTGGGTGTGTACCTGTGTGTACATGTATTAAATGATAGATTAGGAGAGTTAAAATAGTTGGCAATTCTGAGAATTATTTAAATGTGCTAAATTAGAAGTTTTAGTGCAGAGTGAAAAACAATTTTAAGAACTAATTGCTCTTACTGAGTTACACACACACACACACACACACACACAACTTATCATGTCCTAGTTAAGAACTAATCTTAGTAAGAATAATAGCACAATTCATAAAAATGGCAGGAGCCCCAATTTGAACCCCCATATTTGTTAAAGAGAAAGTTAAGTTTGCAAAATAAGACTAAAAATCAAAAGCTAAAAATCAGTGGATCTTAAATTGCATCCAAGTGAGGAAGACAAGGAGAAGGTAAGAGTGGCCATGGATTCAGGGAGGAGGTGGTGACAGAAAGGCTGAGTAACTCCATTGCCCTGGTCTTTACAGAAGACTCTCCCTGGAACCTGACAAGCCAGTGGACAGAGATCAGATAGTGGTAAAGAAACAGGATGTCCCAGGCCTGGTTGATAATGCATTTGTAGATAAGTCACAGGCACTAGGGTATTTGCCTGCTGTCCTTAAAGGAACTCAAGGGTGACAACAAGACCTATTGAACAAAATGCTTAGCCTGTCACTAACAACAGCTACTGAGCTGCAAGGCTTCAGTGGCAACATGGGCTTCTGTTTCCTAAAGGTATTAGATACAAGGTTAACATGGATTTGTAAATCCCAGCATATCAGAAACTGTAAAGGGCTTGCATTGAGGTTTAAATGGCCTAAATTAAGGATGAATAGCCAAATTTATAAAATCTTTAACCGTTGTTAGAAAACTTAAAGAATTCACTACTCCTGAAGAAGTGTTTAAAAATATATATCAATTCTAATAAAAAAGTAATATATATATATATATATATATATATATATATATATATATATATATATCTCAATTCTACTTAAATCAGTTCAGAGATAATGAATCCAAATGAGAGCTAGGTGTTAGGGAGCAATGACTTGGGGCCCTTGGGTTAGCATCTTTGAGTATGACATTGGTGGGTGGGGATAAGTGTTCCCTCTGTCCTTGACACCTCTAGGCTGGGCCTATATGACAGGAGTCTTTCTTTTGTTCAAGTCTATCACCCTCACTTGAAGTTGGCTGTTTGGCTGTATGTATATTTAAAAAGCCCAGGACAGTCTGTGTGCTTCTCCATGTGATATACCTGTGCTGTTACCATCTTACTTTCTCCTTCTTGGAAAGAAAGAGAAGAGTACAATATATTCTGCGGAGTTAAGAAACAGATACTACCTGCCCAGGGCAAGGAAGAAAGTGAGCTCACACTTTACCTTTGGCTTCCAGAAATACTAAGTGTTCCCAAAGGATCAAGTGCTGCCCAAACTGCTCCCTTCTAGCCCTCACTAATAGGTCTGGCTGTCCCTACGGAAGTGCTGTTGAATTCTCCACCATAGGATATAGGGCCATTGGGAAGGAAGTGATTTCTGTAAACAATCATCCATTTATAGATTTCCTTTACCACCTGCCCCCATCCCCAACCAAAAGTAGTGAGGGCTTTGTGATCTCTGGAATAAGAGATGATACCTACAACTTGCCTAAGAGAATAACATTTATGGTGTTTGCCATGACCTAAAAGAGATAAGGATCGGGACAATGACAATATAAAATGGGGAGTAATGAATGAGGTTGTCCTTCTTCTGGATGAAAAAAAAAATGAAGGGAAGCCTGGTTATCTGCAGGTCATGCACCTTAGCAAATTCCAACACAATGACCACTACAATGTCAAAAGGCCATATTCGAGAGCTACTTCCAAACATGGGGGAGTTGGCCCTGGACAGAAATAATGTAGTAACATAACCCTGGGAGGGAAATGTGTTTTCAGTTACACAAGGGCCCGGTCCAGCCTTTCCCACAGGCTCTTCCTAAATAGGAACTTGGCAATGGGATTAGCAGAGCTGGAGGGGACGTCCTTGGCTTTAGAGGTGAGGCCCATGTGAGGGTCCTGAGGAAAGTTGGGCAGGAGTTCTCCCTGCTGTAATAGCACTGAAGAATCAGCGTCACATCTACTTTATTAATTTTCTTGACAGGCAGCTCTAGTTACCATGCAGGCACCACAAAATCAAAACATACGCATGTCAAGTGGCCCCATCTGTGGTGGGGCCCTGCCAAGGCCCATGTCACATCAACATGAGGAAGCAGAGCCCAGCTGCTTGGACCACGTGCTTGGTCCCATGAGCAATCCCCTGCTGGAAGAAAACCACCAGAGCTTGGTTGAAAGAGCCAGAATTCTCTTGGTGACAGTCCTTTATCCTGGGTCTGGGCTCCCTGCATTGGGTAGAGTCCTGGGACACACAGCTGCATCTGGCTTTGGGACCTGTCTCTAAACACAGCCACACAGACCTTCCTGCTGCTGAGGTTCGTACGCCTGCATTCGGTTTCGTCCATGCAGGACAACAACAGCCTGGATTAAAGATGACATTTAAAGGAATATGATGTCCTCATTTGTAAGTGGAGTCTGAGCTCAGAGTTCTGTTGATCAAAAACCAAAAGGTTTTTTGGGGGGGCACAGAATAAGCATAGGAGAAAGAGGTTTTAAATCAACGTATCAGTTACTATGAATATGGCTAATGTGATCGAAGGGACTTCAACATGAATTATTCTTTTAGGAGAGCAAAGCTAACTATCTATATAAATAATCCCCTTTACAATTAGGTGGGTGTGAAGGGTAAAGACCCAGGAAAAAACCCTGCTCTAAGTTTCACACCTTGTAGGTGCCCAGGGTGAGCACCAACACACCTGCCTCCTCATGTCCCCAACCATCTTGGTGTAGCAGTTTTTTCCCTCAAGTCTTCCAATACCTCATTGGCAGTGTACAGAGCAGTCAAAACAACAAAAGGATCAAACCTTTGACTTCAGAGTTTTTGACTCCCTTGGCAGGATCTCATTCATTTCTCGCCTTGACCAGTGTTAATTCTGCTTGTGGTACAACAGGAAGAAGAATGTAAACCCAGGTCTGGAGCTAATTGCCACCAGTACCAAATAAGAAATGCAGACCACAGTGGTTGGCCACTCTGACTGTCTAAGCTAAGAACAGCCCAAGGACAAGGACTGGCATGACTGTTCCTCCACACTCCAGGAGCCTTCTAAAATTCTATGCCCTGGAAGCCACCCCTGATCTGACATGGCCTGTGAGAACAGAACTGGTTCTTTCTCTTCTCTCCTGAGCAGGGGCCAGCAGGTAGTGGCCACTTTGGAGACTGCGAAATGGCTGCCTAGTCATTTCCATGGGGTACCAAAGGGCAAGGAGATGAACACATCCAGACTGCCCCTATCCCTTGTAAAGGACCCAGTTCATTATCCATTCAAATAGCCATGGCATGTCAGCCTTGCCGGCCGCCTTGATTGTGCAGAAATAAATAAATGAATTATGTTGTTGGGGTTTGGGCTGCAGCACAAACACATGGTCTGCATTTATCCGCACAGTGAGAGGTCCACCAGCCACTTGATATAAAAGAGGAAAATGATAATTCTTTTCTTTAGGCGCTCTGGTGCCATATGGAATGTATATAAATCATATTTTTGTTTTAACAGCGGAGGCTTTGTTGATAGATAAACATGTGGTTTATCTAAAAAAAGAGAGGATTGTGCTTTGAACAATCATTTAATGGCCGTGGATGTGCCAAATAAAAATAAAAACATAATTTTGAAAAGAGCTGGCCCCTTGCCCAAATCCGTAACAAGGAATTTCTCCTTAACCAAAGTGGTTAAAGCCCGTCGATCTGTTTTGAGTTTAAGCTGTGCTCTCTACTCAACCCCACGACAAATGGAATCCTGGGCTAATGTGCTCTAATAAGACAAGACGTTACCTTTATGAATGACCTCATGGAGAAGAGATTGGCGAGCATCGTGGAGAGGCCTTGAGCCAGGCAGCTCTGGGCTATGAAACCCAACTTCAGCTCCGCGAGACAGATTGCGTCATCGCCCTCTTTCCAATTCCAGCTAGGGATGTTTAGCAGATGGGCCTGTGGAAACAAAAACAGGTATGAGACCTCACTTTGTTACATATTCAATTGTTCAGTCTCTTCTGGGAAATGCAGCACTGCCCAAGGACTCAGGGTCATCCGGACTTGTTCTTCCTTTCCCTTGCTCCGGTCTGATGTTTGGTGTTTTGTTCAAAACTTCTGCTCATTGGACTTCAGTCTCTTTTCAATATCACTTCTGCATCCAGAAGAAGGAAAAAAAATCCTTCCCTCTGGTTTGTCATTTATCCAAATAGAGCCCAGGGGAATTTTCTCTTATCACAGACACATAGGCCCTCATCACTAGGATATCTGGCTAGGTTGTTCATAAAGTGGCTCCTCAAATGGACCACAAGACTGATTTCTGTTTTTGCAAATCTTCCCAATACTCTACATCAGTGACTACTGAACTTGAGTGGGCAGTAGAATCAACAGCAGGGTCTGTAAAAATCTTGGCCCACCCCCTTGGGTTTTTGATTCAGTAGATCTGGGGTGGAGCTGAAAATTTGCATATCTGACTTGCGGGAGGCTAGGCCCACACTTGGAGAACCACTACCCTGGATCATCAGGTAAATCATAGTGTAGATGTCCTACAAACTCTTGCAGACAAACTGGTCCTGTTCAACAATTAGGTCAGATCCAGTGGCACATTCATGTAATTATTTTTCAAGTGGTAAGAAGCAGAGAGTCTTGGATAATACAATGAATGGAAAAAAAAGAAAGAAAGAAAAAAAAAATCCTCCAGAGTTGGAAAAAAAATCAACAAAACACCAAACCGAAAAAAATTTAACAAAGCTTAATGTCAAATACGGCATTTAGGTTCCAAAAAATCAATTATATAAATTCAAAATGAGAAGACCTAACTTGGCAGCAGACCTGAGAGAAACACACACACACACACACACACACACACACACACAATGCAAAATTTAAGTGTATGGGTAACTAAAACCTCAAATAGAGGCCATGTGACACATTACAGAAAAAGCCAATGTTTGCTTTCTAGAAATGGTTTCCAGAGTAAGGGAAATGAACATATCATTCTGTTGTGAATGGGTCAGACTAGTTCCAGAGAACCTGACCCAGTTTTTTAATAGTCATATATAAAATGGGAGAAATGATCAGCTGAATGACTTCCAGAGAAAAATGACAAAGACAAGAGGAGATAAGTGATCTGGAAAATTCTTTTGAGGAACAGTGAACAGAGCCAGAAACCTCAGGTCTAAAGAAGGGCCATGCCCTCGTGGAGGCAGGGCAGTGCCATCTGAATGCCTCAGGTGCTATCACGTTGAGATTAGGTTTTTTCCAGGAGCTAGAATTAGGACTGACTGGTATATATTACAAGGAAACAGTTTTTTTGGCTTGTTTCATAAAGAAACTTTTAAAGGGTGTAATTTGTCCAATAAATGGAGAAGTCTACCTTGAAAAACACAGGGTCTTTTTTCCTAAGACTTGGTAAATTTCTCAAGTCTCTACAGAAAGAACTCTTAATTTCCATGGGAGGTTGGGTCAGAGAGTCCTTCTAAGTTCCTGCACATGCCAAGATTCTAAGGCTCTGAAATTACTTCTCTCTGTGCATCAACAAACACAAGGAGGCTTCCCATCCAGTTGTAATAGAAGGATGCAAGACTCCATCGTAGAAAGAAAGAGCAAGGCTAAGGGCTCCATGTTCTGCTTTCAAAAACACCACACATATGAAATTCCTTCTTGCAAAATCCACTCTGGTGACAATCTTTTGAGTCCTAAGCCAGCAGTGGTTACTGCTGGGAGAGATGGCAGTATTACCCCCAATGAGAGCATTGTTAAAATAGTCGTGTGTGGGGGCCATAGCAGATGGTGATGTCTGTCAAGTGGAGTACCAAGGGACCTTCCCCACATCAAACACTTAATTCCAACAATGAACCCTACCCTTTATTCCATTCCTCTCCCTAGTCTTCTTTGACTAAACAATGCAAACTTTTCCCCTTTACTTCTCTGGCATTGTAGAGAATGCGTTAATTTTAAGTGGAGAAATGCTCATTTTCAGTAACATCATCTGAGAGGAATGAAAAGAAATTATATATAAGTAATGAACTTGTTTGTGACAGGATATTTGGGTGGTCCCAGCCCTACAGAGACACCACTCCATACCATCTTCAAACAAACAAGCAAAACCAGAAAGTCCCTCATATCCTCATGTATCATCCAGGGTATGAACCCGGGCATTTCACTCTTGGCCCCTCATGCCCCATCTGATTTGAGTTCTTCGGACATATTTTATGTGTTATTACACAGGAAAGTCAAGCTTGTTTCAGGATTCCATAGCCTCCTTTCTTGGTCTTCATATTTTCACCAGTCATGGGACAGGAAGTGAAGCTAATGTGCCAATGGCCGGGAGGTAAATCTGTGCGCATGAAGCAAAGAGAGGATTTTGACCCAGGAATGCAAACTCTTTGTTTCTGGAAACTTTGCCTTCTTTCATTTGAGGGAATCTGGGTGTGTGCAAATGCTAGCATCAATCCACAGGAGTCTTGAGGAGAATCCTCTCTAATCTGGAGAAGAGAAATAGCAGGTCCAGCACAACCAGAACCTTCCCCCGTTTCTGCTGCTGGATTGCACTTCATTCTTATGGGAGGAGACCTGGGGTACCGCATTCCCGTCAACAGCACATCCCCAATGACCTAAGGCCTATCAGCTGTCCTGGGTAATGAGGAAAGATGAATTCCAGTCCCAGTTCCATCTCTTACTATACATTCAATCATGGGGGAGTACCACAAGGAAAGACAGAATGCCAAAGAAGAGGAAACTACCTTGCTGCTATCGTTTGGATCTCAAGTGTCTCCCAATGGTCCATGTGTTAGAAGCTTGGATCCCATGAGGTGAGAAAACCTCTGGGAGGCAGGGGCCTACCTATAGGCCTTAGGTCATCGGGGATGTGCTATTGAAGGGAATTCGGTACCCAGGGTCTCCTCCCATTTTGCTTCCTGCTCCACAACATGCTCCCATCGTGACATGTTATCCTGTCCTACAGGCTCAAAGGAACAGGATTAAATGAACACAAACTAAACCCTCCCAAACAGTGAGCTAGTAGAACTTGTCTCTTTGTAAATTGTGTCAGGTGTTTTGGTTTGAATGTGAGGTGTCCTCCAAAACCTCCTGTATTCATGAAGGAATATTTAGAGGTGAATGATTAGATTATGTGTGTTGTGACCTAATTCATCCATCCCAACTTGAATGGATGTGGGGCATGGCTGGAGGAGGTGGGTCACTGAAGACATGCCCTTGGAAATTATATCTTTCCCTCTGGCTCCTCCCTCACTCTGCTTCCTGGATACCATAATGTGAGCAGCTCTCCTTCGCCTCCTTCAGCCATGATACACTGCCTCATCTCAGGCCCGGAGCAATGGAACTGGCTGACCATAGACTGAACATCTGAAACTGTGAGCCAAAATAAACCTTTCCTCCTTCAAGTTGTTCTTGTCAGGTATTTTGATCATGGTGACAAAATGTTGACTAGCACATTCAGTGTTTATTAGTGACAGAACGATGACTAATACAACTACTGCCCAAGCAGAAGGGTTGATAGGGAGATAGCTTAAAGAGCCTGCATCTGCATTGGGCCACTGGGACTTGGTTTCCAGGACAGAGACAAAGGCTCTATAATTCACTGGGAAAATAAGAAATATATTAATAAGGTAAGACATTAGGAGTGACACTTTTCCAAGACATCATAAACTATCCTTTCCTTGAAGAGCTTCAAGCCATTGATGCTTAAATCAGAAGATGTCATATCTTTCTTCTCTTTCAGAAATGGCCAGATTGAAAGTATCTCTCCATGGAACCTAGATATACTGAAGAGACCCAGTTGGGAGAGCACCAGCTGTTTTACAAGCCCACACTCAGGAACCACAGTTTGATTCACTGGGCTGCGACTCCATTTAAGAGAAGATGGCAGTTGGCTATTCTGTCTCCTAGCTCTCTGACTGCCCAGTGACCATGATTTGTGCCCACCAGAGTTGCTTTGCCTATGACAGAGCTTAGACCCCCTGGTCTGAAGTTACCCTGGGATGCTACAATGCACAGATGGTACAATGAGGACTAAATGAGATAATGGATGTCAAAGCTCTTTTAAAATCATTAAATGGGACACAAATGTCTGCAATTATTATGATGACAAACTCAGGGCCAGTTTTATATGGAGACAAAGTAGGCCGTTTCCCTCCTTCCCTGTAGCTCTAGAATATAACCATCATTACCTCATAAGGGATTGACATTCTTTATATTCCAAGCCTGATGTCCAATTATGGAATCAACTACCCCTTGGAATATGTAGATAGTGACATGAGTTTTCACACGTATATCAGATCTTCTCTGAAAGCAAGTTTCAATAGGTAGAGATCTATGGGTGCCTTGGATGGGTGCAGAGAAGGTACCAAGAGAAAAGGAAAAAAAATATTGAAAGAGAAGAGGAAGAAAAACATGGTAAAAGGGCAGGTAGAAGCATGTCAGGCCAACTGTGAAGCAGAGTGAAGGATGTCTATTTGGAATCCTACAGGAATGAGATGGCAGAAAATGACAAGTGGACTTTTCAGTCCTTCTTCAAGAGGAAAAATGAAATAATGGAGGAAAAATACCCTGTGCCAAAGTCCCTCCTCCTCTTATGTCCTTACTAATCTTACAGGACTCTGTAACTGATTTTGCCTAATCCTGAAACCCAAATATACTGAAATGGTTCCAAAGAAAATGATTTTTAAGCAAATAGTGGGTCTGCTGATGTATTCATCATTGTTCCTGGATAACTGCAGTGGAGAGGTTTATTGAAGATGCTCAGGTTACTATGATCATGTGATTACTGACCAGGTATTGCCTGGATCTTAGGCCAGTTGAGCTGCTTTCAATTTGACAAGAACTATATAACTGAAATCTTCCTTGATTTCTCCAAGATGCTACATCAGCACCATTGGAAAGAGAAGAAAAGGGAACTGACATTTCTTTCGAAACATACAACATTAATTTTCCTATTCAATCTAAATTCAGCCAAAAATCTAAACAACTTCTTAAAGCACTCCCACACTAAATGAAATTTCAAATCGCAAATGAAAGAAGGAGCATTCCTTATGGCAAGAGCTGTCACCAATCACAGTCTCACTAAAAAAATTCACCTCCACCTACAGGGGCTGCCATCAAAAAACAAATAAACAAACAAACAAACAAAAAAACCAAAAAACTGCTCTAGATTGACAACTGTGAGTTACCAATATCCTCAGACTGTATCTCTTCAGTGCCCTTGAGTTTTCCAGAGACAAACAGGAGAATGAATGTGACCTTGGGTGCCCAGCACCCAACCCTCTGGCTGGAGAGTGACACCTTCTGCAACAGGGCCACCTGCTGAGGGCTGGGCAATGCTTGGCATCGGGCAGCAGTTCTGAGCAGTGGGCCAGTCACCGACAGCAGGCTCCATTTCACAATGGCCTCTGATGGGCCTCCACACAACAAAATGGGCCAGCACTTGCCAGCAATTAAGAAATAATGGCATGGTGCTGGTGCATTTGGCAGAATGGGTTTTCTGTGAGTCACATGCCTGTCTATTTTGTAGGAATATGGCCTATAAGATGGGCCACTCTTGCCCTCAGAACTCAGCAGGGAGTTATTTCTGTTCAGACAGGACACCTGGCCCCAGGTACTGAGCAGCCTCCAGCTTTGAAGCTTCATTAAGGAGATAAGTGGTGCTATATCAAATAGAGCAAGATGTCACCTTCCCTCCCCCAAAGCTGTCTTCCGGGGAGTTCACTGACAGCCTGGGTGAAGGAGGAGAGGCTCTCAGCTCGGGCAAATTGGGAAGTAATCAGAGGGAAACAAACTGACCCCAGTGGATGTTTGCTGTTCCAATCCACCCCTACTTGAAGTTACCAGGAACATTCATTCCTTTATGTTCAGTCTGTGGGTAGCCAACTCTCTGTTCAGTCTTTGAACTAACTCTGCAAATTCACATTATGGATTTGAGAATGTCATGGGTTTCTTCCTCCACCCGAGTTCTTTAGGCTTCTTTAAATTCCCCTGGCCTCAATGAAGTCCCAACACTTGCCTATGACATTAAGTGCTAAATCTTGGGGTACAAAACAGGGCTTCTCCCTCACTGATATTCTTCTGGGCATAAAGCAGAGTGCTGATTGTAAGGTAGGTATCGATAAATACTGACTGAAGAAATGACTGCCATACATAGAAATGAAGTGGTTAGGAATTAGGTGTGGATGGGATCTAAAAATACATCCACATTTCTGGGCCAAGCAGTTCAATAGATGCTTCCTGAGTACATAAGGAGCTTCCTTCCAGAGACCCACTGCCAACACGTTGCTTATTCTGAAGAAATATCCCTTTGCTTTTTTAACCTTCACATTACATCTTTTACACAGGCTTTTGTGTGGCACGATGAATACATCTATGCACATACATACGTGTGTGTGTGTGTGCATGTGTATCTGTATGGTGAGGCAGAGAGACTGGAACTGGACCCCAATATGTGGCTTCAGGCCTCGACGGCTCTCAATGTAATACCTTGTTGTGATACTGCAGCATCTGAGTGATGATTCTGATCTTCGGGTGGTAGTTCTTTATGGAGATTACTCTGAAAAAGAGAGAACAAAAGCTGAGGCAGGGCCTGTCACCCCCATGGAGGCTGCTGGGAAGATGCATTTGATTATCTCCAAGTGGGGTCCAAGGTAGGACCAGCAGCCTGCGCCATCCAGGAGGCTGCAGGTACTAGGGCAGGTTAAACTATGCTCCCACCACTACCTCTGGGTGGTTTGAAATGGAAATCGCAAGACAGCTACAGTATGTATCTTGGGCATGAAAAATACGAGGGAACCCTTCGATGGCTCAGTGATGGCATGCGAGCCTGTGTGGGCTGATGGCAGGGGCTTTGGGACCAGGGTCACTGCTGACATAGACATCAAAAGCAAGTTCAAATCATGGTGCCTCTGGAGCTCTGCAATCTCCCACCCCAGGGACCAGCCTGGGGACAATCTGCTCAAGTTAACAACTTGAGACAACAATGACAAATCGCACAAGCTGCCTGACAAATGGTTCTAATTGTCACACATACTTGGCCACACTCATGCACATGATTTCTAAACAAGTCTCTTAAGAGCAAGGACTCAGCCTTCCAAAGCTAATAGAGTCTCAATGATGACTTGAACACTGGTCAGAGATAAGTGCCAGCACCTGGTGGAGGTCACAATCTGGCCAAAAATTCCCTCCCATTTCCCTCAGTCTATATTGGGCATTAACCACTGCCCAACCCTCACTGGCACTCCTGTTCCTGTCAATCACAATGCTGAAAAGGGAGGAGCAGGGCGCAGATGAATGGAAACACCTGGCCCCCAGTCACAGCTATTGTACTAATGAACTGGGTGACCTTCAGGAAATCCCTGGGCTCTCTGTTCCTGTTTCCTCATCTGGATACTGGGGGCAACAGTACCTGCTTTATTTACTTCACAGGCTTGGTATGAGTAGCAAATGGGAGACCAGATGTGAAAATGCTTTGAAATCATTAAAAGCTCTCTCCACGTGTAAGTTATGGTTTTTGTCATTATCGACCCTGTCAGGAGTGACATTGTACATTTCCTTATGTGACAAGGAAGGCTAAAGAATGGAATTACACAGAAAGGCCTACCTTCTAAGCCTAATCAGAAATACAAGTGCCCCCATCATGCCCACCCCCACAAACTTCCCACCAAGCAGCGCTCCCCTCCACTTCAGCCCTTTTTGTGCAAAGATGGAGAGAAGGCAGCCTGTGAGTCACTCTATCTGAAAAGCTGTAACTTGTGAATTTAGGGAATGGATCATGTGAAAGCCTCTCCTTGCACAAATCCACCCTGGGCTTTTTGCACTTGAAGGATTTCATTTTATTTTTGAAAAAGTGTTGTGTCGGGCCCCAGCATATAACTCAAGGACTTTGAGCCTCTGTCAGCCTTCGCGGGGCAGTTCATGGCATCAGCCAGTTTTCTGCATTAGCTCATTTCAAATGGCTCTTTGACATTTTAATTTCAAAAGGGGCAGATTGGTCTCATTAAACTAAGGAGGGAGGAGGATTATACAAATAAGAGAAAAACGGAGCCCATTTTTAACCCTGAGCTTCTCATTTCCTTTTGCTACCCAGGCCTTGGTTCTGGTACAGGTCCCTGGATGGATTAGTCACAATTCTGATACTACCTTTGTCCATGAGGATGACCACTTCGGCATCCTGCCAATCACCCTGGAACCTACCTATGTTTATTTTAACTTGATCCCCATCAGGGTTTAAACTGAATTTTGCAATGAAGAGAAATGCCCATCTCAAGCTACTTTTCATGTCAATTATTCATCTTTAGGGGGGAAAAATGTGGGCCAGCCCCAGACTTTTCTGAGGGATCAAAACCTTAAGTGTTTTTTTTTTTTTTAATTGTTGTAAATTTGAAAGATGATAAAGCCCAGCTCTTCTAAGGCTATGTTTTTGTCACTTAAAATGACAGAAAAAGTGTGTGAAGCTTCTCCCTACTCCACCCTCTCTGCAGCCTGGCCTGAGTTCATGCATGAACTTCCTTAGACAGACTGCATCAAGTGCACTGCCAAAGAAAAGTGAGTGGGAAGAGAAGATCCCGCCAGATGCTGCCTGCCAGACACAGGGAACAGATGCTGTGGGCAGGACCTGCTCATCCCACATGGACCAGAGGAATTCCTCCACACCACTGATGGGAATGCTCATGTCACTTGGGGCCACTGATTAAAAGCAAAGACAAAGGAGATGTGAGCATTGGAATGACACAAAGGCAACTTCCCAACCTTCACCTTCAGGTAAATTCCCAGGACAGTAACACAAGCTGCAGGGAGAGGGAAGCCTTTGTCTGGATCAGAGGATGGCTGTTCACAATTAAGCCAGGGTTCCTGGGGATACAGGGCGGTGAAGTGTTTTCTCTGAGTTCATCCTCTCTCCAGAAGATTCTCTTGATTATTCCCTCCCAACTTAACTCATCTACAATTTATGCTAGAGAGGAGACAAATTCCAAAAGGGCTTTAACTACCTGGAACAAAATGTCTGGGCTTTTTAGTCATTTCATAACCATGGAATATAACTGCAAGTCTATGGAAAGAAGAAAAACAGGACAAATTTTCTTCTGCAAAGAGAGAAGAACAAGGTGGAGCTGGAGCAGGAATGAGCTCTAGATGGGCCTATCTCATGTTTAGAAAAGGCACTGGGAGGAGTTGTCCCAAAAGATCTCCCCAAGAAGATGCTGTGTTAAAATTTTTTTAAAAAAAGAAAAGAAAAAAGACAGAAAGAAAGAAAGAAAAGGAGAGGAGAGGAGAGGAAAGGAGAAATACTCTGTAGAACATTATCTCAGAGCTTCCTATTAGTACTAAAACTAAATTCATTGAAAAAGCTCTCAGTGAGGAACACAAATTTTGGGCAACTGGTTCAAACAAGTTCTTAGTTGATAACCTCCTTGTTGGGGTGATGCTAAACTTGCTATAGATGAGCCAGCAAAGCTCCAGCTTTGCGGGCTTCTCAACCTCAGTGCTACTGACATTTTGGACTGGATAATTCTCTGTATAGGGGTTGCCTGAGCATTGTAGGAGGATTAATAGGATTCCTGGCATCTATCCACCAGATACCAGAAAGACCATCCTCAACTTAAATCATCTCCAGACATTGCAAAATGTCCCCTGGGGGGCAAATCTGTCTCCAGTAAAGACATCTGGGGTTCACTTCCCCTTGGATATATGGTACGTTTATCCAGACCTGCACTCTTCTAAATTTATCTTTTCTTTTTAGTTTTGTCTCAAGAAATCTCAAACCCAAGACCATCTGAGAGCCCCAGAGATACCATCTGTTAAGGCTGAGCTTCCTGGTGGTGCCCTGGGCTCCATTACTTTGCTCCCCACCATGGCCTCAGCTCCCCATCAGGCCTCTGTGGAATGACTTATTGGGGAAAGGGGGACGGTCTCACAGATACTGTCCTCTGCAGACCCAAAAGGGCTGCACGTGGGCCTCAGAGGGCCAAACCTAAAGCCTTCCCCAGCATCCCCCACCCACCCCAAGTTACCTCATGATGTTGGAGGCATCTTCTGCATCTGGGTCAGCACAGTACTTGTTGGCAAGGATGAGACACGCATCTGCTGACTCTATCTGAGACACCAAAAGGAAAAATCACAGAACACAAACATATAAATAGCCATGCTCAACTGCAGTCTCTCTCTCTGTTGACAGTTCTTAGGGAAACTGGTGTTTTGCAAGGGCAGAAAATAAAAATTGTGAGAGATTATAGCATTTGTCAAAAGTGTAGGTTGCAAGTTCTCGTTACATTATAAACATTTCATCTTGTCGAGGTTGGTGGGTACAGAATGTACCTTGGTAATTACACATGTCATTTGGCATAGCCACTTTCACGTAGGACTTCCAGATTTCTTTAAATACAATTAAGTAAGCCTTTCAATCCCCTCTACATCTCCTTTCTCAATTGTGTGTGCCATCATCCTAATTTTTCCAGCCTGGAAATCAAGGTTGGTGGGCTAACCCCCTTCTTCTGGGTGACCAAGTTAACAAGAGTAGTTTGGGATTCAGAAATTTAGACTTCAAAGACCTTCATATAACCCATCCCACATCATCATTATCTATGTGTAAGAAGAAATCAGAGCCCTCAATTAGACAACAACTCCGTATTGTTTGGTACTCATTAGTATTCAGATAGTCAAAAGACAACAAACCTATTATATGAAATAATTCATTACAGATGAACTCAAAATACAACCTACTGACTTATGTAAACATAAGCCAAGAGGGGTTTGTTCCTTAGAGGGAACCCTGAGTTTGATGTGCTAATAATTGCTTGCATTTAAATTAGGTCCATGAACAATAACTATTTTCTCTGTTCTCGTAAGATTTCACATGAGCCTTAACTTGGGTCATGTCTGGTTAATATTAAAATTAACTGGCCCAGGTTAGTATACTCATTCTCATGCTGGCTCGGGCCTACAATCTGTCACACTTGGTATGCTGTACTTACTACCATTCCTGCATTTGGTGGAAGGACATGGTTTCCTCCATGGTATGTCACAAATTTTCTCTACATTTCTTTAATAATCTAAAGAATTTACACAAATCCTTTTGGATTATTCATGATTGTCAATTATATAATTTACACAAGTATGTGGCGCCCACAGTTAGCCTTTAGACTTCAGTAGATTCCCATTATTAATGTACCCCCACTGGCATGCAAATATTGACCATGTTTACAAAATCAATATTAAATGAATAAAGTAGCAGATGCCATTTTGGTATGTCCCCTTCCTGTCCTACCCTCCGGTATATTTTATGAGAAAAGTCTAATAGTAGATTCTAGAAAAAATGATTTTCCCATTATCAAGTGATGTCAGATACCTGCAAGTTTAGTTTTGTATCTTGCAATGGTGGGGGAAAGGAAGCTCAAGATGTTTTATGACTTCATACAATTTTACTTTATACCTTACCCTAATGTTTCTATGTAAACAATAGATGTTGGAGCTATCTTGAATCCAATTTAAGTAATCAAGGTAGGAATTAAGGATTATTTTGTTGACTATAAGACTCTTGAGTCTGAACGACTGGTCTACTTTCTTTTATATTGAGGGAACCAGCAAAATAAGTTTCATGTTAAGAGTAGTCCAAGCATGGAGCACCTATAGATGGCCTACCATGTGCCAGCAGCTGAGGTCCTGGGGCCAGTGGAAGCGTGATTTCAAGGTTGGTAGTGTCTAGTCTAACTTATCTCAGTCAGTGTTTAGGAGATGACCACTGGCCATCCTGGAGGCACATCCCCTGACTGAAGTCTGACTCCCCTGCACTCTAAGATGGAACAAAGCAGAAGTCACCTCTTCCTCCTTACCTTGACTCTTGCAAGATCATGCGGATTGAGGACTGAACCCTGATAAAATTCCACCTGAGTAAAATGTCGTTTGAATAGAGCTTCAAGCTCCAGGTTAGGGGAAATGCTGCACAGGGAGAGAAAAGAAACAGCCATTGGTTATCATGGACCCAGGATCTCAGCCTCCATACCTCCCTTCTCTTAAGTGCCCATAGGGAGACCTGGAGAGAGGCTCTGACCTTTAAAGGAACCTCTTTTCTTATAAATAAAAAGATCACTCTTAAAAAAAGTAAAAGCCCAGCCCCAGGGCAAACCAAATCCAGTACCCAGGTAAAACAGCAAGGCTTTTGGCCTTTACAAAGGCTGTGACCTTTTGGTTTGGCATGAATCGGGCCTCTCTTTTATGAGTGGAGAACTGGTTGTGAAATCAATGTGACGGCTAATTTCATGTCAACCTGATTGGGCCACCACAGCAAGTTGCCCAGTGTGATCACGAAGGTGTTTCTCAATGTGGTTAGAATTCGAATAAGCGAACTCGGGAAAGTAGATTACCCTTCTTGGTAAGTGGGCATCACCCAGTCCACTGAGGGTCTGAGTACAACAAAAAGGGAGAGGGAGGAGGAACCTGTCCCTTTTGTTTCCTCCCTGGCAGCTTGCCTTGGGACGTCTCATCTCATCTTCTCCTGCCCTCAGACTATGATTGATAGCATTGGCTTCCCAGGTTCTCAGACCCTCAGACTCAAGTGGAATCACACCCCCATCTCGGTCTCCCATTTGCAGATGGCAAAGTGTGGGACTTCTCAGCCTCCACAATCAAGGGAGCTAATATATCTCATAAATCTCTCTCTATATAAACAGACACGTGTGTGTAGTTATAGGTAGATAGAGTTATAGGTAGATATAGAGAACTCTATCTCCATCTCTGTCTACTGAATCTCTGGAGAACCCTAACTAACAGAGTGAGAGATTAGCCACCGCTTCACTTAGCCAAGTCACCCTGCACTGGAGCCCTTCCTCTGCTTCTCTGCCTCATGGATTTCTAATACCCCAAAACCCAGATCAAATAAGTGTCACCTCTGAGCAGCCACAGACAGACTTGATTTACCCCCAGGACTATTCTTGATTCACATACCCTACATATCACACTTCTGAGTGCTGAGCCATAAAGGTACCTTTCCCATTGAAGGACAATGATTTAAAAAGTGTTTGGCCTATTTATTCATTTAATTCTGCAGAGCTGAACAATACCCACTCTCTAGTATTTAAATGTTAGGCAAATGTTGACTTAGCACAGTTGCTGGCACATAATAGGTTCTCACTAAATAGTGTCTCCTAGGCAGGCCCTACTCTCATTGGCCAAGACTGCTGCTTCCTTCTCCATTGACTATAGTGCTCTGCGAGGAGGCCTGCAGGGTCATCATGACTTAGTGAATTCTGCCTGATCACCAACTGTCCCCTTCCCCACCTCAGGCACTCAGGGAGGAGCACACAGTGGTTGGAGGGTCTGGGGACAGCAGCAGGCTCTTACTTGTGAAGAAAGACGATCTCCACGTTGACATCGTCCCGATCCTTGTGCAAAAAGTCCTTCAGGAAGTTGGAAACACTTTCCAGAGTGATGTGTCCACAGACCACAATGTGCCTGAACAGGAGAGGCTAGTTAGATCAGGCCAGGCCTGGGACGATGACCCCTCCCCCCAACGCCCTGGCAAGGCAGAGCAAGCGTAGCAGCTGTGGGGAAGGTTCACCTCCTCCCTCCACCTCGTAAAGCCCAGCACCCGTCCCCGAAGGGCTGTGTGGCAAAGCAGCAGTACTAGCAGGTGCTCAGAGACTTCGAGACAGAAAAGGCATATGGGCTTCTCACCTGATGCCGCACAAAATCCTATTAAAAGCCTAACCGTTTGGCCAAGTAGTTTTATGCATTTAACAATAAGTGACATTATGCTTGCGCTTAAATGCTGCATTATCAAGTCCCTTGCAGATTCATATCTCTCCCTTTCTGCCCACAAAGCGTCCTCCCGGGAGATTTACCGTATGAGTCTTGGTTTATGACATAGAGCTTATCAGGTAATGAGATAACAAATCTTGCTGAAACGATGATTTTGTGTGTAAGAAAGCGGACTTTTATCAGGGTGGCTAATGTGCGGCTTGACACGTTATAGGCTCGGCTGGCCATAAGCAGTAAAAAGGAAATTTTGCATTTTTCCACCATAACTTCTCCGACAATGGGGGCATGTAACACTTTACAGTAAGTGAGCATTACTCAGGGCTAAATGGGGATGGGATGCTTAAGGAATCGCTGATCACCCGCTGGCTGCCTGTCCCAGAGGACCACCTCCTTGGGGTGCTTGGGACTTCCAAGTGAGCCAAAGGAATTTGACCATAAGATAGGGGAAAGCCAGGAAGGAATGAGGCTGGAATGCTTGCCTTATCCTAGGGTGGTTTGGACTTCTGTTTCCAGAAATAGTGGCTCTTTCTGAAGAGATGACACCCTCTCCAGAGCTGTAGTGACAACAGTTCCTGCAATATCTCTTGGGCTCCTGGACCAATCTGACCTTGGCACCAGGCTTTCCCATGCCCACTTGTTTTTGTCATTTGATGCCCAAGCCAGAATAAGCACTTTGATGCTAGAGTTAGCTCTAAGACCAAAAGCCAGGGCCTGAATGTGCAGTTGCAAGGGGGTCCACTCATCCTGTCCCTGTGCCCCTCAAGCTGACAGTGACGGGGGCAGGATCTCTAGCTGTGCTTTCCGAAGAGGGCAGGTGGTAAACACATAGCGAGGCAATTTCCTGGGTAAGATTTAGAATGGTCAGGTCCTTTGTACTTCATAATTGCTCTGTGCACATTGCAATAAGGCAGCATGCTCATTGGCTGGAGGCAGCTCATAATGGGAGGCAGCGATGATGGCTTATGTGATGTTCCATTAGCTGCCATTACAAGAGCCTGCCCTTTTGTGGTAATTTGGTGCTTGACTAAGTATGTGAGAATAATGCAGTAAACTCATTGGTGAATGGATAATGATGCAGAACAAAGAGTAAATCAATAATATGCACGACGCAGTTAATAATATCACCATTATGGACTGTTATTGTTACGGTGGTGCACTTAGCGATCAGGTGAGCAGTGGCCATCAAGGGGGAGGGAAGAGTGTCATTGAGCTCCTTCAGAAGAAACAACTTAACAAGATCACTTTGCCCTCTAGCCGGTACCTGCTAGATTAGGGGAGATCCCTTGGCAACTCATCCAAATTCCATCCCTGACCCCCTCCTTACTATAAGGCTGTGAAATATAACATATATAAGAAGATATAACATAAAGACTTAGATTATATACATTTTTATTATGTCATATCTTACAGTGTTTCTTGACTATGACAAAACAGGCTACCCCTGAATGTGCATGTTCTGAATAAGATTTCCAATTGTGAATTCACTAGGTATGCTGAGAAAGTGACTGAGAAACAGGATTCCCCTCTTTACTCACCTCTGCACAAATGGTAATAGGTTTTCTTGGTGCCATGCTAACGCTTTCTGCCTGCAGATGTCCAAGATTAAGTACAAGGCCACCATAAATCTGACTATCGGTATCCATCCCCATAGCTGAGGCTGCCATTTCTATGAGAAAGCAAGCCAGACAGGAATCCCTGCCCTGCTACCAAGGATGCACGGCATCCAGGGTAAATTCCTTATTCCTGTTCAGTGTGTGAGGAAGATGAGAGGTTAACACCACCCCATCAGCCTCCTGCACCAGGCACTGTGAAGTTAAAAGTTTCATACAAGCATATGTCTGGTTATTATTCAAAGCCAGACTCAAATCAATGATAGGTCTGAGGAAATGCCCAGACATTTATCCTTCCTATCCTGTACACAAAGAAGTGAATGAACATCTGTCAGAAATGCTTCTTCCTCTTCAGAAATGATCCATGCCTAGGAGAGACGTGTGTGAAGTGGCAGAGGAGGAGATGAGCTGCCCCCTCACCTTCCAATCAAAGGCTCAGCTGGCTGATTTATTCAGTCTTAGAAAAAGTCAGGGTTCTCTTACTTGAAAATGTGCCGGGTACTTATAAAATATATTCCAATGCAATCAATATTATCCCTTAAGCCCTTAATTAGCTTTCACTTCTCTTAAGAAGTAGACAAATGCTGGCAAGAGAGAGGAGAAAAAAAGAGATTGACTTTTTTTTCATTTGGTGCTAGCTGTCCAATACCATTCTAGACAATTGAAAATATATATCTTTTAGCTACAGCATGATTTCTGGGGTAGAGAAGAGTCCTTATCAAAAAGGAAAAAAAAAATCTTCCTTCAACATAATTGGTATTTTTGCTCAGGGAAAAAAAAAGTGAGATTGATTGAAAGCAGATTGCCTTTTTTTTTTTTTTGCCCAGGGAGAGTTATTAGGTACATTATCATGGCAACCTTGAAGAACCCATATTGTTCCAATCTGTCCTGTATCTGATTTGAAGATTTATGGCCTCCCCCTTTCATGCCAATAATCATTTCCTCCATTTTGTTTTCCATACAGTGGAAGTTATCAAGGAGCTCGCATATTGAAAATGTTTGAATGCAGTTAGAATTGATGAATGGGAAGACACCGACTCGGTGACCCAGCATCCGCATTGGAGGATCTGCCCCCGCCAGCCTGTGTCTGCAGAAGCACCAGAGGCCCTGAAGGAGCACAAGGATGGATGGTGAACAGGGAAAATTTATTTTCCAGAAATATTTTCCGCATTTGAAAATTCTGGGGGCAGGAGCTTGGGGAAGGATAGTACTACAGGGAGAAGAGATGCAAAATTTATGGTATCCTTGATTATTCAAAATATGATTGAAAATATTGTAAGACTGAGAGCAGGTTGTGCCCTCCATAGAAGCAGTGATGATTACTCTTATGACATGATTTGAAGAAGGCCAAAAAGATCCCTAACCAAAACGATCTCTGTTGGGTTCTATGACACCAGCAAATTTACCAAATGAGATTAAGACTCTGATATCTGGCACTAAATAACTTGTTTTGGACAAGGGATCAGTTTTGCATTTTACAGCTCACAAGACAGAGTCTTTTGAGGAGCTGGAGCTAGCACATAATTCATGAGGTTAGCCCAAGAATTGATTTAAAGAGACGATGCAGGTAAGGGCCTAGCAAAGGGCTTGCACATTGTAGGCATTTTAAAATGGCAGGAGTCAAGTGACATCTTTTGCCTCAGTGTGTGGCAGAAATAAAGTGTTTTGTGCCCCTTACAGTCTCACCTAATCCTCAAAAAAATGTGTGTTCCTACTATCTGCAGCTTTTCAAAGGACCTCTCCATACCTGAGTCTCCTTAAGTCTTATGCCTGACACCCCACAGAAAGTAAAAGTGACTTTCCCAGGATGCAGTCCAGGTCTCTGACTCTAATTCTAAGAGGGAGGTGGTAAGGGAAGGCTGTGGCTATTTCAGCTCCTGCAGGACAGGGAGGACTGGGCCAATAAGAGGTTCTTCTGGATTCATGGTGAGTGCATGTCCCAGGGGCCCTCAATGGTTCAGAGGAGATGTTTGGTGAGATTGGGTGGGGGATACAGAGATGAACCTCACTTAAAACAATATCATTAGAGATTCTGGCTGCATGTGGTCAGTTAGGACAGAGAGTTCAAGACAGCAAAGTTTGAACTATACAGAAATCATAAATCCTACTGGTCAGGTCTACACCAAATTTTAAATTCATTAATACATTTTGGTGAACCAAGGGTCTACAAAGTAGTGTAAATATCTATTTGAGACAATTGTGCATCATGTCTAGTTTAGGATGTTCTCACCACTCCAGGAATCATATATGAGTCATTTACAATGGGGAATATTTAGACAAGTTAAGCTCTGAAGTTATCTAAAGTTGCTCCCATCTGTGGCTCTGGATGTAAACTTTTTCAGCCCTCTGGCAATCTTCAAGACTGATTTCTATGGGGCCTGAGCACTCGGTTTTTGAAGATGGCCAATAGACTTAAAATAATAACTGTGTTTGATCTGATGATTTTTTTTTTTTTTGGCTTTTAAAGGTTTGTTTAGTTCTGTGAGGAAATATTTCTTGGGAAAAGGTAGCATAAATTATTAATGATAGACTTAAAAGATCCATCTCAGATACACAAGGAAGAATCTTAAATGCCAAAATTGAGGCAGATGGCATTTTCTGGAAAGGAGTTAATGATCCGTTAAGAAGTACTTGGTTTGGGTTAGTCAGGAGTTGGAAACACTGGTGGGTCAGGGAATAGCCATGGTATCATGTGGTTGAATGTGATGTTGTAAGAAAAAGGATATTTGACTGGACATATCACCAGAAAATTACCACCTGCCTATTTCCTGGGCACATCTGCATTAAATATACAGTGCAGTGCATCTCCCATTATTAAGTATCAGGAATGCAGCCCCTTACATCCTCCTCAGCCATTCTGCTCCCTCCTTGGTGATGGGCCAGAAAGCTGGAATGCCCATGTTTCACTCAGTTCCACAGAGGTCTCCTAGGGTGCACATAGGACAGGAGGGGCAGCTACCAGAAGGGAATGTGCCTATGAATAAGGCACCCAGAGATCCAGTGAGGATGAGTTTAGTTCAATTTTAAATGGAAATTGACAGATTTTTAAAAAGCATCAGGTAGTGGTTTTTAGAGCCACTAGCT